TGCTGAAACTAAAGAAATTGTTATATTCTCATATATTATAGATAATTTATGTCCATCATCATCTCATCCATTTACCCAGAGTCCTCTAGTCATCTGATGACTCAGTAGCCGCATTGCTAAATCAAGTTTGGCCAATGCATTTGCTTGTCCCTTGGCAATTGAATCAATAATGCGCGCGCTGCACTTGCACAGCCCTGAAAAGCCACTTAAGCCCTTTGCAGCAGCAAATAAATAATGCCCCAGAGTCCCTCAACTGTGCCGCACTATGAACTATGAACTGCCAAATGTAAACTGTAAACTGCGAACTGTGTGTCCTGCGGTCAAGCTCGGGCACGTGCTTGTCCCGGAGAAGGTTCAGAGTCAAGGTCACTCAATTTCTCTCTGGCAGCCAAAATGACTGCAGCTAAACGACATTGAGACTTGATGTGTGTGACAAGTGAGAGTGATGAGAGAAGTCAGAGTGGACGACTAGAAAATACCCTGTCTGAATATTAAATTATTATAATACACAATATTTGTGCTCTGTCTTTGTGTAACTGTTAGTCAAACAGATGCCCCTTATAAGTATATTTTCTGTCAATTTCTTACCTACTTAATACCATGTATGACTAGAAAATACCCTGTCTCACTTACTAGCATTCGTGCTGTGTCTCCAACTCAAACAGTTGCCTCTGAGATGGACTTATTATGCCCATCTCTTCCTTTCTCGACTTCTTTGCTCTCCTATTCAATACCCTGTACTTTGTAAAGCTTCCTCTGAAATGGACTCTTAAAGTAAAATCAAATATAAATGTAAATTAAATTAAAATCAGTATTCTCTATAAATAAACTTCGTTAGCCTTACTCACCCACCCCATATACCCGCTTCAGTCTCACTTGCAGCGCATCCAAATCAATACTAATTACTTGGACACTTTTCGTATTTTGCAGGCTGCATCTTGGCCGAGTTGTACACGGGCTTTCCGCTGTTCCCCGGCGAGAACGAGGTGGAGCAGCTGGCCTGCATTATGGAGGTGCTGGGCCTGCCGCCCAAGGTGCTCATCTCGGTGGCTCGCCGGCGTCGGCTCTTCTTCGACTCGCGCGATGCGCCGCGCTGCATCACCAATACGAAGGGCCGCAAGCGCTCGCCGGGCAGCAAGACGCTGTCACAGATTTTGCACTGTCAGGATAGGTATTTCATAGACTTTCTGCAGCGGTGCCTGGAGTGGGATCCCGCGGAGCGGATGACGCCCGATGAGGCCGCCCATCACGAGTTCCTGCAGCCGTCGGCGTCGAGTCGGCATCGCAGCTGCCGCATGTCCACCAGCTCGTCCAGCTCGGGCCTGAACAGTGTCTCCCAGAAGTCTTCCTGCTACAACTTTGCAGAGATCTCGCCGGGCAACGGGCCAGTGGTTGCCTCCATAACGAGCACCACAGCCGTTAGCAATGCGGCCATCACGACCAAGTCCATCACCAGCAGCAGCAGCAGTTCCCGTCAGCCCCATGGCCATGGCCACACCCACGGCCACGGCCACGCCCAGTCGAACGGCCACCTGCCCGACATCAAGCTCAGCGCCAGCGACAAATACAACAGCATGCAGAAGGTGGCCGTGCGCTCCAAGATCACCTCGAGCGTCTCGGATCTGGAGTCTGTGCAGCAGCAGTATTCGTTGCATCGCATCTACGGCGGCGTCGGCAGCGGCAGCACCCATCACGTCTCCTCGGCCGCCACCAGGAAGCATCTCAACGGCAGCAGCAACGCGACCAACGGCAACAGCAACAGCAGCAGCAACATCAACGGGAGCAGCAGCAGCAGCAGCAAATATGGCAGCTCAACGCTGGCGCATAATCATCACAATGTGACGCATCACAATGCATCCACGGCGACGATTGCCACGGCCACGCATCATCATCATCATCATGGTGTGGGCGTGGGCGTAGGCGGGGGCGTTGGCCAGGTGGGCGGCCAGATGACGGGTGCCGGCTCCAATGTGGCCATGTCACACTCTCAGTCCACGGGCGATGTCTCCGACCGGGCGATCTTTGGGCGGGCTTGACTTAGGGCGCGGCCCACCAAGCTCGAGCTGAAGAAGTGCAAGCTGGTCAATATGATGGACTTCTGGAGCTAGAAGTGGCGTCCACAGCAGTGCGCTGACCTGCGGGAGGAATAGCATGCGACTGCTGCTTCCGGCCCGCAAAACCTAGCTGTAAATGTTTAGCTATACATATATGTATATGTATATATATATATATATATATGCGTATATATATATATGTGTATGTATATGTATGTACGTATTTAGGTCTATATATGTACGTGTATTGTGTATTAAGTGTGTCTCTCTTTATCCGGTTGACAAACAGACATTTAAGAAATATGCGAAAAATATATATATATAAATATATATAGTTATATGATATATAGTTGATATATACACACTCACACACACACTTGCAACAGTCTTGCAGTATTCTCAGTTAATTTCATTGATTTTTATTTTTATTTTAATTTTTTTTGCTACTGCCATAGCTAAAGCATGCATATACATCTTGATATATGATTTGTATTTCCTAAAAATGTATTTCTCTCCCAAAAGTATTCGTACGACTTCAACGCCTTTTCATGTGCATTCACGCAAAACTGTATTCAACACGAACAAATTGATATATCATAAATAACATAATAATAATGATAATGATACAAATTAAATAACATAACCTAGTTATATATATATATATATACATATACATGTGTGTATTATGTAAGCAATTCAAATCCAAAATCTGTAAACAATTTCCATACAGCTTCCATGTGTTTTGCAACAGTATCAAGGCTGTTACTAGTTACAAATAGAGATTGTGACTATACTATATAAGTTGGAATGTTTCATCATCAATTCAAAGCTCAAATGTAGAACTCTTTATAACTAACTAAAATAGCTCCCGATTGCTAGGGAACGTCATAGACCCACCAAATTATCAAATCGAAAATACCCCAGTTAATTATATAAACTATAAATATACGTATATCTCTAGCTAGATATAGACGGCCTATCTGAAACATTCTGACCTAGGACTGGATTAGGTTCGATATCAAGTTTGACAACAAATATAACGTAAGTTTGTATTTTGCATGAGAGAATTTGAGAAAGATCGAAATTGAGATTATTCTCGATCTCGATGCAGAATCGTTTTGTAGTTGAATATGTCCAAAACACTCACACATAGTGCAAGTAACATGTCATAATCTAATGAGTATACACACCACACATATTATATTAAACTATAAACTAATATTACGTAATTATTGATTAGAAACTACAGAATATAAAACAACAACAATTTATTGCCAATACCACACAAAAAAATATATAAATTAAAAAAAAAAAAATATAAGAAATGAAAGTTTAACTAATTCTATGTAAATCGTATTAATGAAAAACAAAAAAACAAACCACAATAAATACAATTTTTAATATAATCAAAGTTTGAAACACACACACATACACACAGATACACTCTTGAGACAGTTGAATGTTAGCTAGGAGCAGAGATGCCCCTCAATGTGCCCTTTCCCCTTCCTCATATACTCTTTGTAATCCGTTCCCCTCCCCCGCTCTCTATAAGTCGGAGCCTAGACTGTCTGTATGAACAAAGTTTTGTGTACGTACTTTTAGATATCACTGTAAACAGAATGCAACTTTTGCTCATGACTTTGATAGTGTCGTAGTATATATATATACATATATATATATATATATATATGCTTATATACACAATAATTTCTGCCTATTTTATGTATTATTTATGTTCTTATATATATATATATATATCAAAATATATATATTCTCTGCCTAACTACTACTATTACTACTATATCATTTTTTCTTTTATGTATTATGTGACGTTTATTCAATTTAAAAACTAAAAAAAAAAAAAAAAAAAAAAAAAAAAAAAAAAAAAAAAACTTTTTTTAAAA